AAAAAATATAATGATATCCAACAAGATCTCGTGATCATCATATTTGAAAAAATGATACTGATTAAATAAAGAAAATAACCAACCACAATAATAAAACAATTGTTTATAATATCTAAACATAACAATTACACAAGTTTACGTTTGTATGATATTACGAAACGCATTTAATTTCAAATTCGTACCTTAGTTTGCTCCAAAAAAATTATTGATCTGAAACTTTATTCGTAGCAAATATTATCATTGAAGGTTTAAGATCTCTTTGTTTCTGATTTGATATAATGGATCTCAATTTAACTTTGAAGAGGCATGAAAAATTTGAAAAAGAAGTATGTGGTGTTGTTGGCTCAAGACTGTGTTGGATGTCGGCTGAAGTTCATTTAAATTCTAAAGAGGAAAATGACTTTTGATAGATTATGTTAGTCTTGAGATTATTAGATATAAATTATGATAAATTTCATTTTTTCATTTATTTATTTTTATATATTTTTTCGCAGGTCCGGTTTGATTTTAAACCGCAATTAAAATTCTCAAACATAAACAAAACCATTTTGACCAGTTTGGTTTGGTTCAAAATCATTTCGTTGACCAAGTCCACATGGCACCAAACTGACGGTTTCTAAAATGCGATTTCGGTTCGGTTTGACGATTTTTGCTTACAACCCTAAAGCGCACAACGCATGCAAGCACAAATTGATGAACAAACAAAAAATACTATTACCATATTTGGCCCCCATTCTTGACAAATTTTAATGGTTGGAATAATATTTTTTTGAAAAATGTGTGGTTGAAAAAGAATGAAAAGTTTTTGATTTACATGTAATATTATTTTATGGAAGATTGCGTGATTAAAAATAAAAAAGAGAAAAATAATGAGAAAGAGAATGAGGGTCAAACGGGGCGTATATGTTTTCATAGACAATCCACATTAACAAAACCGTCAGTGAAACACACGTGAACAAGATTATTAAACTTCTTTAAAGTGACATCACACTCTAATGAGTAAGGAACATGTGACATGGAAAACAAAATATGGAAAAGTTATAGATCTGTTACAGACTCCCTAGTTAATGACCACAAGTATCACTAAGGAGAAAATGATTAAATTACCCTTGGGCTTTACAAATATTTATAAATTGTCATGGATTCATAGTAAATAAGATATCGAAAAAAATGGATACACACTCCTTTAATAGCAATTCCCTCTCGAGTCTTGTTTCAATAGATTTCATCGAATTAGGGAGTAAAAATCACTAATAGGTGAAAGTAATTTGTTAATCTCGATTTTCAGGTCAACAATCAGTGAACATTTATACAATCCTCCCTATAGACGAAAGTATTCATTTGCATCATACTATATATACTACGCCCTTCTCATTATTTGAATGGAAGTAGTAGTGCGAGTGAAGATTCTAATTGAAACAACAGTAATCTTGGCAATGATACCACGCCATTCTCATTATTTACAGCACACTACTCAGAAATGAAAGAGATATTTATCAAATTTCAAAGATATAAATACAAAATGGACAAAATCCTCATGTAACATAGTATACACTCTCCATTAACCAAAATGCATTATAAGCAATTATTTATCCATTTGCTTGTGAACTGTTGCAACCCCTATTTCAATCTCACAACCGTCCATGCTTTTGGACAAGGCTGTTCTCAATTTCGACTCTTTTCTTCATCAATAGAGCATACTTCGACACAAGCTCTGGGTCTGCAGCAGTTGCAGCAAGTTTGCAATTGAGAGATGTCTTTTCCAAATTGTCCATGTACATGCTCGATATCGGTACAAAATTGCCCTTCTTGTTGCACAACCAACCATGAGCTGCCCTTAGTGCAGCCCCCATTGAAGCCGAGTCTGTAAAAGCAAGAATACGATTTGTCTCTCACAAAAAGTATAATCTTCGTGATAGAACTAGAGGGAAGAGTTAGTGTAAAAAGTATATAAGACATAAATTAAGTTCTTTAATATATAATTTTGATTGGTTATGTATCTTGACCAGCAAACTAAGAGTCACTTTTAAAGTAACTTTTGTAACTTAATTACAATAAAGTAAGTTAAATATGTTTCAAGACAAAAAGTTAGTAACTTTTACTTCTTTTAAGCTCAGCCATACATGAAGAGAAGATGTCTTATGCAGATGACTAATTAAAAGTGGCTAAATAAATAAATATTACTTGCCTGGCCTTTGGACTGTATAAACATTGCACCCAAAAATTGAAGCTACGAAGCTCAGAATGTAGTTGTTTGCTGATGCTCCACCAGTAGCAATGATCCGCTTTGGAGGTGAAGGCATGCCAAATCTTTCAGCATGAGCTCGCATAGAAAGCAACTGGCCCTCAACTAATGCCCGAACCTACAACCAATTTGTTATGCACGTATGTGTATTTAAGTATATAATTACTGTCAACTTCTTTTGACATCTCTAAATGATCTGTTAAGTTACCTCAGAAGGAGGGTCAAATTCCTTGACTTCGCATTCACTTACTCCATCTAAAGACTCTCCATTGAAATTCTCAAGAACATAACGATGGAACCCGACTGCAAGATTCACAAGTCAATCACTTGCAATTATTTATAATAACAGGACAACTTTATATTGTATATTTTCTATTCCCTCGATGTACAACAAAAATAATAGAGATATTAGCCCATTATTCATTTTTGGCAAGTTTTATAACAAAATAACGTATAAAACAGAAGAAAGCTTTTATTCTTATGCAGAAAACTTGCAGCAAGTTATTGAACACGAGAAATTATCTTTCCTGATAGAGAGCATTATACTTGCTGATAATTTAGTAACATAATTGATAGAATGCTCACCCGGAAGAGGAGGAAGAATTTCATGGTCTTTGTAATAAAAGCCTAATTTTCCACCTGATAACCGGAAAAAAAAAACATTAAAACCAATGAAGGGAACAATAAATTTAACCAATTCAGAAATAAATATGAATAACTTCTGCACTAACCATTTAGAGGTTGGGTTTGCTGCAAAAATTTATTGAAAACCTCCCAAGATTTATCCGCGCACTGGTTACGTATATCTATCAAGGGGTCACATGATTAATAAAATGAATTTCATATTTCTTTACACACAGTTATTCCTTGGATTTTCTAGAGTACCTTCACGGGCCAGAGACCCATTCTTATAGCACAGCATAACCATGTAGCTTTTTGGATCCACTGGATTAGGAAAGACA